GGCCACTGCGATCGAATGAGGCTTCGCCATCGATGTCCTGCCCCAACTGGCTCCAAGTGTTGCCCGGGAGCCCGAAGACGCGAACGTGACCAGACCCGGACCCAGCACCGTCGTTCCCCTTCGCTCCAATGGCCACGCGGCTGCCGTCGCTGCTCAGCGACACCGAAGATCCACGCGGCGGTTCAGTCGAGCCCACCCACCCAGGTGTCGGGCGTTAGCGGGGTGATCTCGGAGACAAAGACAGGTTTTGGCGAACGCGGAGTCATCTCGGCTCGTCCAGAAGCACCTGCTGGTAGGGAGGATGGACCACTGTTCCAAGCGAGAAGGATAGCGGAGCATATCAACTTTACCACGGGGAGATTGGAACGCAAGCTGGCGAAGGGAGGTTGGAGCCTTAACCCAGCCAAAACCAACCACCTGGTTTGCCTTCGAGGCCCAGGGGTAGATGGGATCACTCAACAACTGCAAAAAGAAAAGAAGATCCAGGGCACGCCGACGAGGGAGATGCGAGTACTGGGACCGTACATACCTGGGGATCAGGACTACGCTAAGGAGATCAGGAGGAGATGTGAAGCAATGCGCATAGCCTACAGACAATGTGGTTGCTTCTGGTCTGCTGATACCACCGACGAAATAAAGAGGGTGACGTTCAAAGCGGTAGTATCAGGGGCGGGCCTTACCGCCACCCCGGTGCGTTCGGCAGCACCATGGCAATTCTTCTGAACGAATGGCTGGAGGCAGAAAGAGTTGGACTCAAGAGGATGGCACGACCAGGAGTTGCGCCAACAAAGAAGTGTTCAACCGCATGGAGGGTACCGCGTTGCGCTGCAGAGTTGACTACACGCGGACTGCGATGGCACAGGCAATGGGCGAAACATCCAGAGGAAGTTGGCAGTTTTTTTGCAGCAATATTTGAAACATAGTTTTTGTCCTGACAAAGACCAGCCGCACGCGTACTGGCCAGAGGTTTGAAAAACGCGCAATTGCGCCGTCCTCAGTGGCGGACCGAAAGGACCGAGAACAGGCTGAGGAAGGCCACCGTGATGAAAGCCACCTCGAACAACGAACAGGCGAAGACGTCGGTCACGCCATCGAAGCCCGTGCGCTCGTGCCCGCATAAACGTGCCCCCCCGATCACTGGGAGCTGCCCCCCCGAAGAGCTCCTGCCGCCAGCAGCACCGTCGACGCCTCATGGACCCCGACACCCACCACAAGGCCAGCATGCTCGCCAGAGGGCCGCTCGACCAGACGATCAGGGCGCACATCAGCAGATGCACCACCTGCGCCGTGGGCTCCAGCATCGTCCCCGTCGTAGACGTCCTTGCCGCGAATGCCCGCCACCTCCGTCCCATGCGCACTGGGGCGGACCTCCGTCGAAGACTCCAGTACCAGCCGATCGTCCGACACACCGTGAGCCCCGAACGCCTGAGCCAGAAAACCAGGGTCCTCTGCAGGAGGATGCACCAGCGGAACAGGGAGTACAACAGCAGGCACTCCAGCAGCAATGCGGACACCCAGATCCCCAGCAGGAAGATCTCCAAACATACCGCCACGAAACCCTTCACTGCCAGGGTGGCCCGACTCCATGAAGCCGTCCTCGCCCTCGAAGCCGAACGCCGAGCTGAAGGCGACTGCCCCGCACGAGCACCGAAGCCCGTGCCGCCGTGCCGGGACAGAGCCGAAGGGCAGCCCCGCCTCCCAGCCCAGCCGCGGGACGGCGGCCGCCCAGGCGATGCCGCTGGCGGACGCCGAAGCGAAGCCTCCAGGCGGCACCCGCGCGGCGTGCCAAGCGGCGTTGCGGCGCCGCCTGGAGCTTCCAGGGACGCGGCGCCCGCTGGCCGCGCACTGGAGGGCAGGCCTAGACGCGAGCTCGCGGTCGCGCCATGAGCCAGGCTCGCCACCTGCGCCAGCGCGGCGGCCGATGGCCGCCACAACAGCAGCCTGCCGCCGCTTCCGAGCGGCACGGCGAGCCGCCGTCGGGCCCAGGGAGTCGATGTCAGCCTGCCGTTGCGATGAAGGCCGCCACGCTGTCGGGCCGCCCGCCGCCGCCATCCCCGAGAGCCAAAAGCCCCACTCCCCCAAGTCCCTCACGCCCGCCAAGTTGCCCCGTGAAACTGGGGTCTCGGGGTACGCCGGGGGACAAGGTCCAGGAGCAGGGGGCCAACGAAAAGCATGAGCCAAAATGGCTACGGATATTTGAAACATAGAATGTGGACCGCCTGTGCGTAGTTAGGATGAATGGAAAAGGGGTGGGCACGCGAGACGTCGACGCTGTGGGCAAAACAGGTGGTCATGGATTTTCAAGGCGCGGCAGGCTGGTGCCCGCAGAGGCAGTCAGATATCGTAATGTCACCGAAGGGCATGTTGGGCTGGGAAGCGCGGGTTGGAACAAACCCTTGCGAGCGTACGGCGGATAGCGCCCCCACCTCCAGCGCACCCTCTGTGCTGTCGAGAAACTGCCACGCCTGCGACGCTTTGCGAGCGTACGACGGACAGCGCCTCAACCTCCAGCGCAGCCCCTGTGGTGTCGAGAACCTGCCACGCCTGCCACGCTTTGCGAGCGTACGGCGGATGGCGCCCCCACCTTCAGCGCACCGCCTGCGATGTCGAGAAACTGCCACACCTGCCACGATGTGCGAGCGTACGACGGATAGCGCCCCCCGCGCCCCCACCTCCAGTGCACCCCTTCTGGTATCAAGAAACTGCCACCTCCGGTGCACCCCCTCTGTTGTGGAGGAAGTGTCGCGCCTGCCACGCTTTGCGAGCCCGAATCAGATAGGGAGACCACCCCCATTGCACCTCACTGTGGTGCTCATGTGTTGTGTGGTGTGCGTGTCATGTGTATGATGCGTGTGCGGCTGTACCTGGACGTGTCTCATGTGGGTGCCCAGTATGTGTCATGTGAATGATGCGTGTGCGGCTGTCTCTGGACGTGTGTCTCATGTGGGTGCCCACTCTGTGGCGCATACGTGCCGAGGGGGTGGGTTGCGCGCGGGTGAGAGGAGGAAGGAAGAGGAGCAGGGGAGAAAGGGTGTGTGTGTGTGTGAGGCTCGCGGGTGCGAAGCGGCAGGGAAGAAAAGCATCACCCCACGAAACGTGTGGGGAAAAACCTAAATCCCACGAAACACGTGGGGAATGCATGCCTTGTTTGCCCAGCCGTCCTGCGGTGCTGCGTCCTCGTGCTGAAGAGACAGCGCCCCGCGTCTCGTTCCCTCCTCCTCCTGCCTCTTCCTCCCGCTCCCTCCTCCTTCCTCCCGCCCCTGCACCTCCCCCACGCAGGTTCCTGTTCCAGCACACCTGCTCCCCTCCGACTTCGGCACACACCCCACGCGCTTCGCGCCCCCATGGGGCAGAGAAGGGGGGCTTCCCCGAAGGCCCCATTTGGCAGGGCCCACCTTCTGTTCGATGCACTGCGGCACATCCCTCACACGTCGGGTGGCCCCCGAAGGAGCTCCATCGGAGGCCCCAGTGGCAGGATCCGCGCGCGGCTCCCCGCCCATCTCGGCACACTCCTCGCTTGCCTTGGCCCCCTCGGGAAGCTCCACCGAGGGCCCCGGTGGCAGGGTCCGCAGGCGGCGCCCCGCCTATTTCGGCACACGCATCACCCGTTTCGTAGCCCCACCGGGAACGCCACCGAAGACGATTTTCACAACTCCGCTACTCACGACTGCATGTAGTCCGGTTCTTCGCCGGGTGTAGACATGTCTGTTCTTCAGCACAAGACCACCCTAGAGGTCTCCAAATAGGACCCCCACATCGCCCGATCATACGTCAAGACGGCCTCTCGACAGCCCAAGAGGGCCCCAGCCAGTCCAGGACGGCCCCATTAGAGTCCCAGACTGGCCCAAGAGGGCCTCCGAGGGCACCCAAGACAGAATTGGAGTGCCGATCGACGGTCGAAGATGGACACAAGACAGCCCCACCACGGCCCCAGTAGAGGTCCTTGACCGCAAAGAGGGCCCCAAGACTGCCCAAGGAGGCCCCACGGGACCCCCGATGCTGCCTCGCAGGAGGCCAAGCCAGCCCCAGGAAGACTCGAGTGAGCTCCATGAGAGCTCCTCAAGTGGTGAAGACGAAAGGCGTCACATGCTACGGCCCCGTCCCCTTCCTCCTCGTCAATTTCCTCCGCTTCAGCGTCATCAGCATCATGATGTTCCTAATCGCGCTTGTCCCGATACTCATCTTCCACCTCCTTCTTCTGTTCCTCCTCCCCCCTCCTCCTCCTCCTCCTCCTCCTCCTCCTCCTCCTCCTCACCCCCTCCTGGCCATCGTTCCCTTAATTATCCGATCCGCCCGAAGACGACCTCAAATGATCTAATCCAAACTGAAGACGGCCGAGGTGTGACATGTGACGTCCAACTGACGGTTACTCAAACCATCAACGCACACTGTGCCTTTCACGCAACTCGACTCACATGTTCTGCTGCCTCTCGAACAATCGCCTCCAAGAGTATTGGGCTGTAAGGGGGCCGGGCTTGCCGCAGGCAACTTGGTAACGACTTGGAGCTACAAGAGAAAACTGCGCGTCGGTCCATCCTTAGCGCGAACGGCGCGCGTGTATGTCAGGAGCCCCAGAAGTGACAACGCCCAGCAAGCGAACGGCACGGTCCCCCAAACGGATGGAAAAAAATACCAATATCCAAAACGAACTCCAACACATGCTTGCACCAAATGGTGCTTTCATGCTCTCGAGATTCGAGCAAGACGACCCCGAGGTTCCTGGCGGTTCCAAGCGGTTTGCGGCCATAGAGTCCCACCCCCTGGGGTCAGAATCCCTGAGCGCGAACAATCATGATGCCTTAAAGCTATAAAGAAATCGCATAAACGACCGAGCGTCGAACCAGCTGGACTGGCACCCTGGCGATCGTCCCAAGACTCGCACGAAGCGCGTGAAATGAGCTGTGATACATCAATCTGCCGATGCCGCTTCCGTTACCGTACAAGTCAACCCAAGTCAACCCATTCCCTGCTCAGACGCCTCTCCAGAAGTAGGAACCTTTTTTGGGCACGAAGGACGACAAGCACAAGCTCTATCACCGAGCGTTACACTCCTTCTACCCTCCTCCCTTCTCGTCCGTCCTAATCGCCATCCTCTGTGGCCTTGTACCCATCACTCGACTGCGGCGCTGCCGAAATGGCGGCCCACTTACAGCAGCGAGTAGTCGGCGCCGCTCAGCACAGCCTTGGCCTTTCCGAGCGCGTCGATCTCGCCACTGCGCGCCTCCTTCCTTGCATCGAAGTCCGCCACCGTGCTCTGAGGCACGAAGTGGAATGTCCTCAGGTGAAGGCTGCACAGGAGGTAGGCGTGCTGGACAAAGTGCGCTGGTGGCGCGTGGCCCTAAATTAATTCAGTAAGCCAAAAGTAATTTAAGTCTAAGTAAGCCAAAAGGTAATAAGCAAGCCTAAGTAAGCCAAAATGGAGCCCTCTGCGCTCGGCATTGTATTGCTCTCCGAGGGGCCCAGCCCCGAGTTCTGGTCGCTCATGGGGCTGCCCGCAGGCCCTTCGAGAAGCGTGTCGAGGCATTCTCCCTTGGGCTGGAGGACCCTGACGCGTGCACAGCGAGGGCCTCCAAGAGGCTCCCAGAACGGTCGAAGCGGGCCCCGAGACGGCCCAAGAGCGACAGAGAGGCCCGTAAGGCGCCCCAAGAGGGCTCCAGGAGGCCCCCAAATAGGGCCCAGGCAACACGATTAAATTCCTATAAGTTCTGTCAGACTTTAACTTTCTCGCCATGTTGGGCTTCCGGCGTTCCAAGACGGCCCAAGATGCTCCCAAGATCGCTCCAAGACGGCCCCAGATGTCCCAAGAAGCCTTCAAGACGGCCCAAGAGGGCCCCCAAGACGACCCCAGAAGCCACCAAGACGGACAAGAAGGCCCCAAGAGGAAAACTCGAACTGACATTTCGAGTCCGCCGCCCCTAAGAAGCCCCCAAGAAGTCCAAGACAGCGCGCAAGAGGCCCCAAGACACCCCCAAACCGCCTCCAAGAGGCTTCCGTTATGGCTCCCAAGAGATCTCCACAGGCATCCAATAGCCGACTGACCTACATTCCAGGCGCGGTGGCGGGATGGGCCAAAGACCACTAGATCCGCCGCCCCCTGTCGATTCATCGCAGGGGTGCCTGGCGTGCTGGACCCTCTCGGTTTTGGTTTTGTTTCCAAAAAACTCCCCCCGGGGCTTCGGCCCGTCCCGCTGGCCATCCGGAAAACCCATCCGTCAATGCGTCTGTTGCGCCAAGATGGTCCAAGATGGCCTCCAAGACGGCCAAGATGGCCCAGGATGGCCTCCAAGATGCCTCCAAGACAGCTAAGATGGCTCCAAGATGCACTCAAGACGGCCCAAGATGGCCTCAAGATGGTCTACGACGGCCCAAGAGGCCAGCAAGAGGCCTCCAAGACGGCCCAAGAGCCCTCCAAGACGTCCTCCTGGAAGGCCCGAAAGGACCAAAACCATTGATTGCCCTTAGGTTTTCTAAGGATTTTGACATTTGCGCCTTTCCGGTTTTCCGACGGCCCAAGAAGCCCCCAAGATCGCCCAAGAGGCCCCCAAGAAGGCCCCATGACGGCCCAAGTGGCCTCCAAGACGGCCCCAAGAGGGCCCAAGACGGCCCAAGAGACCTCCAACACGCCCAAGATGACCTCCAAGACGCCCAAGATGGCCTCCAAGACGGCCCCGAAGCGCCCCAAGAGGGCACCATGTCGGCCCAGAAAGGCCCCCAAGATGGCCCCCGACGGACCAGGAACCCATCAAGATGGCCGAAGTTGGCTCGAAGCTGGCCCAAGACGGTCCAAGAGGCCCCCAAGAGGGCCTCCAGGAAGTCCAGAAGACGCCCAAATCATGGATGTTCCTACGATTTTTGACGGATTTTGACATTTGCTTCTTTTCGGCCTTCTGACGGCCCGAGACGGCCCAAGAGCCCCCCAAGATCGCCGAAAGATCGCCCAAGAGGCCTCCAAGATGGCCCCAGAATGGCCCAAGAGGGCCCCAAGACGGCCCCAAGAGGCCCCCAAGACTGCACAGGAGGCCTTTAAGACGCCCAAGATGGCCTGCAAGACGGCCCTGGAGCATTCCAAGAGGGTCCCAAGTCGGCCCACAGAGGCCCCCCAAACGGCTTCCGACGGCGTCAGACGGACCAGGAGCCCACCAAGGCGGCCGAACATGGCCCTAAGATGGTCCAAGACGGCCCAAGAGGCCTCCAAGAGGGCATCCAGGAAGGCCCGAACATACAAAAATCATGGATTTCCCATGGGTTTTTTGAAGGACTGTGGCATTTTCGTTTTTCCTGCCTTCCGACGGCCCGAGACGGCCCAAGTGCCCCCAAAGATCGCCCAAGAGGCCCAAGACACAGCCCCAAGAGGCCCCCAAGACGGCCCAAGAGGCCTCCAAGACGCTCAAGGTGGCCTCCAAGACGGCCCAAGAGCCCTCCAAGACGTCCTCCAAGAAGGCCCGAAAGGGTGAAAATGGCCTCCACACGGCCAAGATGACCTTCAAGATGCCCACGTGTTCCCCGAAGACTTTCCAAACCGATTCGGGGAACACATAGTCCGATAGCTTGGCAGGTCTGGCCTCAACGTTCGGCCACATAGGCGCTTCCAAAAAGGCAGGGGGCGGCGGTGATTCGCCGTAGGCGTCTTCGATCCGCCGCCCCCTTTTGATGTATCAAAAGAGGTGCCTGGCGTGCCATATTATATGGTGTTTGGTGTTGGTTCTTTGTCCAGAAGAACTCCCTAGGGCTTCGGCCCGTCCCGCCGGGGTCCTGGGAGATTCCCGAAGATCCATCCGTCAATGCCTCGGTTGCCCCAAGTTGGCCCAAGATGGCCTCCAAGGGCCAAGATTGCCCAGGATGGCCTCCAAGATGCCTCCAAAACAGCCAAGATGGCCTCAAAGACGGCTAAGATGGCTCCAAGATGCACTCAAGACGGCCCAAAATGGCCTGAAGATGGTCTACGACGGCCCAAGAGGCTCGCAAGAGGCCTCCAAGACGGCCCGAGAGGCCTCCAAGAGGTCCTCCAGGAAGGCCCGACGAGGCCCAAATCATTGATTGTCCTTAGGTGTTTGAAGGGTTTGGGCATTTGCGCCCTTTCGGCTTTCCGACGGCCCAAGACGGCCCAAGAGGCTCCCACGATCGCCCCAAGATCGCCCAAGAGGCCCCCAAGAGGGCCCAAGTGGCCTCCAAGACGGCCCCAAGAGGGCCCAAGACGGCCCAAGAGACCTCCAACACGCCCAAGATGGCCTCCCAGACGCCCAAGATGGCCTCCAAGATGGCCCCGAAGTGCCCCAAGAGGGCCCCAAGTCGGGCCAGAAAGGCCCCCAAGACGGCCCCCGACGGCGTCAGACGTGCCAGGAATCCACCAAGATTGCCGAAGTTGGCTCGAAGCTGGCCCAAGACGGTCCAAGAGGCCCCCAAGAGGGCCTCCAGGAAGGCCAGAAGAGGCCAAAAACATTGATGTTCCGAATGTGTTTGACGGATTTTGGCATCTGCTTCTTTTCGGCCTTCCGACGGCCCAAGACGGCCCAAGTGCCCCCAAAGATCGCCCAAGGCCCCCAAGACGGCCCCCGACGGCGTCAGCCGTGCCAGGAATCCACCAAGATTGCCGAAGTTGGCTCGAAGCTGGCCCAAGACGGTCCAAGAGGCCCCCAAGAGGGCCTCCAGGAAGGCCAGAAGAGGCCAAAAACATTGATGTTCCGAATGTGTTTGACGGATTTTGGCATCTGCTTCTTTTCGGCCTTCCGACGGCCCAAGACGGCCCAAGTGCCCCCAAAGATCGCCCAAGAGGCCCACGACAGCCCCCAGAGGCCCCCAAGACGGCCCCTGGAAGCCTCCAAGACGGCCCTTTCCAAGAGGGCCCCAAGTCGGCCCATAGAGGCCCCCCAAACGGCTTCCAACGGCGTCAGACGGACCAGGAGCCCACCAAGGCGGCCGAACATGGCCCTAAGATGGCCCAAGACGGCCCAAGAGGCCTCCAAGAGGGCCTCCAGGAAGGCCCGAAAATTATGAAATCATGGATTTCCCATGGGTGTTTGAAGGATTGTGGCATTTTCTTTTTTCCTGCCTTCCGACGGCCCGAAACGGCCCAAGTGCCCCCAAAGATCGCCCTAGAGGCCCAAGACACAGCCCCAAGAGGCCCCCAAGACGGCCCAAGAGGTCTCCAAGACGCTCAAGGTGGCCTCCAAGACGGCCCAAGAGCCCTCCAAGACGTCCTCCAAGAAGGCCCGAAAGGATGAAAATGGCCTCCACACGGCCAAGATGACCTTCAAGATGCCCACGCGTTCCCCGAAGGCTTTCCAAACCGATTCGGGGAACACATGGTCCGATAGCTCGGCCATGTAGGCGCTTCCAAAAAGGCAGGGGGCGGCGGTGATTCGCCGTAGGCGGCTTCGATCCGCCGCCCCCTGTGGCTTGCTACAGGGGTGCAAGGCGTGCACGACGTTCGGTAGTTGTGGGGTCTTTTGTAAACATTCCACGGGCATTCGGACCAATCCGCCGGCCACCCGGAAGGTCGCACAAACCTCCGGACCTGTTGGTTGTTCCGCCATCAGCACCTGCTCACACGGCCCCAAGATGGTCTCCAAGACGGCCAAGATGGTCCCCACGACGGCTACCATGGCCGCAAGAGAGCCCAAGATGGCCGCAAGATGTCTTCAAGACGGGCCGAGATGCTCCCAAGATGGCCTCAAGATCGCCCAAGAAGCCTCCAAGACGGCCCAAGAGGCCCCCAAGACGACCTCCAGGAAGCCTCGAAGAGGCCAACATCATGGATTGCCAATCGTTTTTTGCAGGATTCTGGGGTTTGCTCATTTCTGACTTTCCGACGGCCCAAGACGGCCCAAGAGCGCCAAAGAAACCTCCACGATGGCTCCCTGGTATCCCGAGAGGCCCCCAAAACAGCCTCAAGGGCTCCAAGACGTCCCAGGAGACCTCCAAGACGCCCAAGATGGTCTCGAAGATGGCCCTGAAGCGCCCCAAGAGGGCCCCTAGCCCTAGTCGGCCTAAGGAGGTCCCCAAGACGGCTACCGACGGCATCAAACGGGCCAGGAGCGCCCTCAGACGACCAAAGAACCCCCCAAGGAGCCTCCAAAGGCCCCCAAGACTCCAAGAGGCCCAAGGAAGGCCGAGGAAGCTGGGGCGGCGGCGGTTCGCCGCAGGCGTCTGAGATCCGCAGCCCCATGTTGGCTTGCAACAAGTCGGCGACTCCAAAGGTTGTGGTTTGCAAAGGGTGTGATTTGCAACAGGCACCCTGGGGCACCCTGAGGGGCGCGCGGGGACCTCAACAGAGTTCTCCCGCGCCCCGAGCAGGCCCGACGAGGACTGTGTCGTGCCCCCCAGGCCCCAACGGTGCCGATCGCAAACCACACCCCGGCGTAAGCAGACCCTTCGTAGTCGCCGAACAGGGGTGCCACGCGTGCCAGAACTGAGGCAACGTCTGGTCTTTACGAAGGCTCCCAATAGGGTATCGGTCGATCGCGCCAGTCCTGCGGAAAAGAATTTCCATCTGCTTTCCGCGCCATGAGAGCCCATAAAAGTCCCAGGTCGTCGGCCTGCCTGCTCTAGACGCTCCCACGATGGCCTCCAAGACGGCCAAGATGGTCAACCAGACGGCTACGAGGGCCCCAAAGAGGCCACGACAACCCCAGGATGTCTCCAAGATGGGCCCAGATGCCCCCAAGACGGCCCAATATAGTCCCAAGATCGTCCAAGACAGCCTAAGAAGTCTCCAAGACGGCCTTAAAGGCCTGCGAGAGGATCTCCAGGACGAGGGCCCCAAGACGGCCAGGAGACCTCCAAGACGCCAAAGATGCTATCAAAAACGGCCCTGAAGCGCCCCAAGAGGGCTAAACGTCGACCCAGACCGGCCCCCAAGACGGCATCCGACGCGCCAGGAACGCCCTCGGACGGCCAAGGAGCCTCTCAAGAAGCCTCCAAAGGCCCCCAAGAGGCCCAAGGACGCCTCGACGAGGCCTCAACAGGAAGCTCCTGGGAGGCTCCAGGAGTGCCCCAAGAGAGCTCTTCCTCTTTCTCCTCCTTGTTCCTCCCCCTCATCCTCTCCTCCTTCCTCCCTCACTTGTTCCCCGAATGATTTCCACAACGGCTTGAGAGCCCAGAATGAGAATCGATAAATCGGATCGGCTTAGTGCGCCTCCAATAAGACATCGGAACCCAAATCGGAATCCGAAGTCGGATCGAATCGGAATCGAAAGCCATCGACGTCGGCTCGAATCGGCTCGAATCGGATCGAATCGAGCCTGCAACGGCTAGGGAAACACGTAGTCCGATAGCTTGGCCGAGCTCTGGCTGCAAAACGTTCGGCCATGCAGGCTCTCCCCAAAAGGCAGGCAGGAAGCGGCGGTGAAATTCGCCGCAGGCGTCTTCGATACTGGATAAGCCAATCGCATTCGGCATGGAGTTGGGAGAGGTACTTGTCCGTTGCCATGAGCGCCTTGGCGGTGCTGGCGCTGTCGTCCTTGGCCGCCTGCAGGTCGCTCTCCAAGTCTGCCTTCTCGGCGGCCTTGGACGTCAGCGTCTTGGAGTCGGTCGTGCGCTTGTCCTTCGCGCCCGCGATCGTCCTGTCATAGTCCTCCTGCGAGTCCTTCTCCTCTGTCTCGGCCTCGGTCATCTCCTTGCGGCGGCGAGCCCGGGGGGAAGTGAGAAAGAGAAGGCTTTCTTGGAGGGCTCAGCAGCCCCCCGGCCTTCTGAGAGATTCTCAAACTTGAGCAGGGACCGACCGCCCCAGCATTCCTAACACGAAATGCTGTTAGAACCCAACAGTGTTCTAATACTATGTAAAAGTTATTGGAACATGAACCCGATGTGTTAAATAACAACCGTCTTTACCAGAAATGTTCTAAAACCATTTCGTGCAGACAATAAAAGTGTCTTAGAACTTTCTCTCGTGGGACTATAGGCGAGCCAGGACGCTTCGCCACTGCTTGACTAACGCCTTCCCCGAAGACGCAGGAAACCTCCCCGAAGGCGCGAGGGTTTCTGAGAAGCCCCGCCGCCTTCTGAGAAGGCCATCTCCTTCTCACTCCCCCCTCTCGCTCGCCGCCGATCCTTGTCGAGATCGCTGATCAGCAGGTCCATCATGGCGATGACCCCAGCACTCTCCTCGGACTTCTTCGCGTACGCGCTCCAGGTCTCTGGCGGCGGTGCGCCAGCGCTCGTGCGCTGCGCGCGCTCGGACACCTGCACCAGCGCCGCCGAGCTGCCCATGTCGCGCTCGATGGCGCCCTGGGCGGAGAGCTCGACCTTGGCCGGCGGGTTGTACAGCTTAGGATCCGCCGCCCGGGCCTCGTGCAGCGGTCGGCGTGCGTCGGGCCCCTGGCGTCTCTCGGCGCGTTTCCCGCCCCAGGTCCCCCCCTCACCAGTCCTGGGGAAAGCATCCACGACGCTTCGAGCCACAGAGGTGCACCCACCTGCTGACCCAGGCCCCCGACGTCATGATTTGTTCATTGCGTCGACACCCGGAGGTCTGCACCCATTCCCAGGGACCAGGTCTTTCATCCCGAGTCGTTTCGTGGACAGTCCCGAGGCCTGGCAGGGGCCCCCAGAGGCCGAAACTAGCGAAAACCCTCCCGTCGTGATGATTTCTTCACGACTCGAGGGGGTCAGGGGAGGGGGGAGGGCGGCGAGGGGGATGAGGAAGAGGAGGAGGAGGAGGAGGAGGAGGAGAAGGAGGAGGAGGCGGAGGAAGAGGAGGAGGGGGAGGGGGAGGAGGAGGAGGAGGAGGAGGAGGAGGAGGCCCTGTGTCTGCGCGCTTCTCTCTTTTTATGTTTGTTATGCCCTCGGCACGGCACGCTGCCCGGGAGCCCCGCGGATCCTCCCCCCCAGAGCCTGCTTCCCCTGGCGCCTCCTCCTCCCCACGGCGCGGCGGCGGATGCAGGCGCGGCAGCGCACCGCGATTGTAGAACTGGTTGAGCCTGTTCCTGTCGGGTCGGGCGAAAGGGGGGGATAGCAAAGGGGGGGTTTTAGAATCAGCTCACGTAGCTGATTTCCCCGGCGCCTCCCGGCGCCGGAGGCGGCTATGTATCGAGGACTGGGCCCCTCGGTGGGGCCGAAACCAGCTGCATGCAGCAGATTTCGCAACCCCCCCTTTCCCAATCCCCCCCTTTCGTCCGGCCCGATCCTGGCGAACAGGAGCAGTTCCTTCGCGGCGCCGTCTGCGGCCATCAGCGCCTTGTACTCCTCGTGCTCGCCCTTCCGCAGCGCCGTCGCCTCCGCGACGCTCTTGTCGAGGGCCGCGATGCCGGTCTCCAGCGCCGAGATGTCCTCCGCGGCGCTGCTGATGCTCTCCTTCGTGCTCGCGATGGCAGTCGCGAGGTCCGACGCTTCGCGTGTCAGCGACTTCTTCTTGTCCTCTGTGGAATCAAACTGCGAGCCACAGTACTCCTTCTTCTCCGCGTCATCGGCCTGCTCTTTCTTGAGCAGAACGACCATATCGTCGATCATCTTGATCACAACCTCGAACCCGACCTTCTTTCCTCGGAGTGCCAGCACCAGGAAGCCGAGGCGGGCGTGGTCCGCCTCGCTCTTCAGCTGCGCTTGCTGGACCAGGGCCACGGCGCGCGCGCGCTGGCTGGTGGTCGTGACCGCGACCTGCATCAAGCTCGCACTGGGCACCGGGAGTGTCTTCTCCACCGGGGCCCATGGTGGGGGCTACCAGGCTGTGCTGAACGAACCCACCCTTTCGGAGCGGTCTGGGCTGGCCAGTGCGCAACTTGGGGCCATCGTGGGTCCTGTTGAGGCCCTATTCGGCAGACATCGGTTCGCCGTGAGGCCGTGTTGGGCCTGTTTTTGAACTCTTTGCGATCCTCTGGGACCACGCTGCACCTTGTGAGGCTCTCTTGTGATGTCTTGGGGGCCGCTTTGGGTGGCCCCTGGGTATGTCTTGAGCACCATCGGGAACCCGAGATCCCCTCCCTGACGGCTCAGCTAAGACTCTGCATGAGGAGGCACCCCCAAAAATGTGAATCACTCGGTGTCCTCTGTCTGAGGTCCCCCTTAACTCACAGACTCTGTTGGTGCCCGCCTGAGGCCCTCTGGGATTATCTTTTGAGATGGCGGGCGCCGTGGGACTGTCTGCAATGCTGGGAGCGCCCTTGGGAGGCACTGCGGCTATCTCATGGCCCTCCTCGATGCCCCTTGCGGCCTTTTAGGCCGTCCTGGAAATCACGGGGCCTCCCAGGACGGATATTGGAGAAGTCCAGGGAGGCGGGAGTAAAAGTGTACAATTGTAGCCCTGAGGGTATGCTGGGGAACCTGTCTGGGGGCCAAACTTCGCATGTACTAGATCCACTGCTTGGGGCCCTTGAGGCTCCGAAACCATTTACAAACTAGTCAAACTGGCGCCATGGAAGCACCAAGCATGCGCAACACACGCAGGCACACACAGGCACGCACACACACACACACACACACACTAGGCGCCCATGCGGTTGAAAACTGATCAAGCTATGATGCACAATGCACTCCAGGCCTCAAAGGGAATATATGCTTTAATATGTGAGCCAGCGTGTATCCAAAAATTGTGAAATCTATGCGGTGTAAACGTTGTGGTTTGAGATACGTGAGTGGAGTGAACAGTGGAACTGGAGCCTGTGCGATGTGAACTAGAAAGTGCAAGCTACGCATCGTGAGACATGTGGTATGAGCTGGAGCTCGAAGCCACGCGGTGCAACCTGAAATGTTAGACAGCGCGGCCCCCGAACGGTGGGTTACTGCACTGTGGAGTGGAGACTGTAGGGCGTAAGCAAGTGGGTGTAAGCAGTGTAAAGCAAGCTGTGTGATGCGAGCTGTGGAGGTGAATGCTGTACGGTGTGAGCCATGTGATACAAAAGGATCATCAGTTTCGAGAACACCTGAAGTGCAAGCACAGTTTGAGGACAGATTCACGTTTGCTCTCTGGATGCGTCAGGACGCGACTAGAGACACTATCGAGTTCTTGTGGGGCCGAAGGTGGACCTGAATAGCTGCAAGCTGGTCCAAGAAAGACCAGAGGTACCTCAACAAGTCCCCAGGAGGGCCTGAAGACCGTCCAGGGCTGCCACCACTGATAGGCTCGAACTTGTCAACAAAATTGCAAACATGATCCCAAGAAGCCCCACAGAGGTTAAACCTCCGACTATCCCAAAATGACAGATTCCACGGGGGGGGGGAGGCAACGGCACAGGGGGGTCCCTCTGGATTGAACAGCTCCAGCGCATCGTCGTCATTCAGAATCTTGATGGTCTCAGTGAGGGCGGCGAGCTCATCGTGACGCGTCTTCACGCGTTCCTCGTAATCCTTGTCCTTCGTAGAGCAGCCCGATTCCAACTCTTGGAGGAGCTTCTGATCTTCGAGCAACGCAGTTTCTGACTCGCTCAAATCATTCTTCATCTGGACGATGGTCACGCCCAGCGACCCGCTCTTCGAGGTCTTGGCCTCGACGGACAGTGTCAGCGCGTCGATCTCTTTGGCCTTTGCAGCGACCACGGCCTCGAATTCCTTGATTGCGTTGGCCTCCATGTCAGAAGCGTCTGCCAAGCTCTTCGAGAAACTGTCGCCCATTTCCTTCAGAATTCCGGTCACCTCCCCGCTCTGGGGCACGTACGCGGAGCTGCCCTTCCCAGACAGGAATGAGAGGAGCACCTCGCGGTCGTCGTCTTGGATAGCGTCTCCCTTGGTCAAGACGATGTTGCGCAACAGGCTTGCCGACGTAGTCTGCAGAAATCCACCCGCCATTCCTTTAGTCAGCGCGGCGACTGCCTGCTTGATGGCAGAAATGTAGCTCTCGAGCTCTGACTTTGTGGCCGCGAATTTCGCAGCGTCCCTCCCGCGGATCGAGGTCGCGGTGGCGACGGCCGTCTTGGCTTCAGCGCGCTCCGTCTGCGCTTCCTTCAGCCCCTGCTTCACCTGGGAGAGCTGCTCCTCCGCTGCCTTCAAGTCGGAGCCAAGCTGGGTGCCCGTCGTGCCCGCAGCGGAGATGCTTGCAGCGAGATCTGCGGCCCCCGTCTTGCAGTAGCAGGAGAATTTCTTGTACATCTCCTCCTCCTTTTCGCCTTCGGCCTCAACCTTCTTCTGCATCGACTGCAGCATCGAAACAACCCTGCGCACCGGATTAGCGGCTGCCCTCGCGTTCGACCGCAGGGAGGCGGCCTGCCCAGTGGCCGGACATGCGACCAGCAGAAGGGCCGCGAACTTGAATGCAGCCATCCTGCTGCCGCGATCAGACTACGTTAGTGACTGATGGGGCGAACGTGACCTATTGAGCCAAAGCGGCTGCGCGGGGAACCAGTTGTTCCTTCTCCACCATGGGGGATGCCCTAGCGGGACCAGCCGCATCGTCGTACAGAGGTCTCGGGCTTCAGGGGGAAAGCGCGGCCGATGAAAATCGGCGGCGAGCGAGGAAGGCCTTCTCAGAAGGTTCGGAAATCCCCCGGCCTCCTAAGGAATTTTCTAAGCCTTCCTCAGAGACACAGAAGACAACTCAGAAGGCCGGAGCGCTTCCGAGAAGCCCCGTCGCCTTCTGAGGCCTTTTCCTTCTCACTTCCCCCCCTCGCTCGCCGCCGAGAGAAAGGAGAGGAGGAGGACAGAATAAGCGCGCTCGCGGAATACCTGACATCCGACCCTTCCCACCCATCCCGTCCGACCGTCGGGTGTTGCCAAAGGTGACCCTGACCCAAAAGGCCCCCCTTGCCGTCGCTCGGACGTCCATTTCCCGTGCATTTTTCGGTTTCGTGCGTGTTTTGGTTTTTCGATGGTCCAGGATGGTGATCGATGGTTCTCGCCGAGAAAAAATGCACACGTCCGAGCGATGCCAAGCCCCAACTTGAGGCTCCAGTTTGGAGCCCCTGGCCTCCCCGGGCCTCGCGAGGGGTGCTCTGAAGGCCGAGGGGCCTCCTCGGAGATCCTGGGGACGCCTGGGGCCAGGGACGCTGCCGTCCGGCAACGCCCGAGGCTGCGCTGGACTCTCTCTTCTCCGCTGGCCAGGGCATCCTCGATGACCCTGGTCCCCCGAGCGAGGCCATCGCGTGGTGCGCTAGCAGAAAGGGGGCCTTGTACAGTGGGCCAGGAGGAGGTATGATGATGGGGAGGAGGCGATGAACATTCGGCGGCGAACTAGGGGGAGAAGTGAGAAGGAAAAAGCCTTCCCAGAAAGCGGCGGGGCTTCTCGGAAGCCCTCCTGCGGCCTTCTGAAAAGATGTCCGTGTCTTCGGGGCAGGCTTAGAAAACTCCTCAGAAGGCAAAGAGGGCTTCCGAGCCTTCTGAGAAGGCCCGCCCCTTCTCAATTCTCTCTGGGCTCGCCGCCGAAACGTGAGGGCGAGAAGGGCGAAGCACAGAACAAGGAGGAAGCAGGAGGAGGAGGAGCAGCAGCAGGAGGGGCAGAGGAAGCAAGAAGACCACTGGAAGGCGGAGGGAAAAGGATGCGGACGGCAACGGCAAGGAACGGATCGGATCGAAGCGTGGCCCCCGATGGGGAGATAGCGCAAACCTGGACGGGAGGAGCAAAACACCAATCCTAACATGCGGCCAACGCTGCAGCGGCAAGACCATGTTTTGAGGGGCCGAAAACGCTCTGACCGGGGAAGCCATATCGGAGTCCATCTCGGGACAGTCCTGTGAAAACATTATGCGGAATGGGCGGAGGAAGTACAGACACCGCAAAGCAAGCGAGGATATTCGCACTCACACTAAGCAATCATGGAGGTGTACGCGTAGGCGTGCGTGGAACAGTAAACAAGCACATAAACACAAACTTCGGTAGGTTCGCATATATTCCTTGGATCGGTGCTGGACCCCCCTCCGTGGCAGGCTCAACGCGCCAAGGGCGGCGCCGGAGGCGCCGCCAGGAGGCCCAGCGTAGAGTCAAAAACTCCGCGAGGAGCTCGTACAATCATGTTTGTGTTGATTCGTCTTCTTCCACATCCCAGGCGATCAGCAGTGGACGGCTAATGCTTGAGTCTGCAGAGACATCTCAAAGAGGACTGGACCTCGCGGATGCCAGCGGCACCCATGAAGGCGCCCTGGCGCGAAGCTTCTGGATTGCCGAACAGCCAATGTGCCTCTGGCACGACGTGGAGCGCCCGAAGGCTCGCAGCTGCGTTGCTGCTGCAGCCGAGCCTTTCCGGGGTCTCCCGAGGTGCTCCCTGCGAGTCCTGGGGCGTTTCCCGTCGGCCCCGTGCACGCTGTGGCCGCCCAGAACGACCCCCGGAACACATCGACGTGTCCAAGAGGCCTCCGATTCGCCGGAAGATCGCCGCGAGACGCCCAAGATGCCTCCAAGATGACCTAAGATGCCACGCGAGGGCCCCAGCAAGCGAAAAAACATGAGTTCCATTGGATGGTTGAAAGATTTTGGCGTTCCCGCCTTGTCGGGATCCCGACAATCCAGGACGGCGCAAGAGGCCTCCGAAACCGCCCCAACATGGCGCAAGAGGCCCCCAAGGGGGTACCGATGCAGGCCGCGAGGCTTCCAAGACGGCCCGAGAGGCCGCAAAGAAGGCTCACGAGGGCACAACAAAACGCCCAGAGAGGGATCCCAAATGGGGGAGCACGAACCAGCATCTTCAGCGCTCCGCTCCAAGGGGCCCTCGGGAGGCCCCAGCAGGCCCCCAAAGCCCCAAGGTGCCCCAGGGAACCCCCAGGAGGCCCGCAGGAGGCCCCCCGAGAGGCCCGCCAAGAGGCTCCGAGGAGGCGTCAGTCCACAAGAGGCCCAAAGAGGCGCCCAAGATTGTGTCGGGCGTGTCCCCCTACAGGGGGCCGTTCGTCGAAAAAATAGAAATACCCAAAAAATTCACCAAAAAGGTAAGAAAAACTAGAAAAATAATCCCCAGACTATTTGTGGACTATTTGTTTTACCAAGTTTGGTGGTCTGTTTTCTTTTTCGTCGAACCCCCCCCCGTAGGGGGACAGGCCCGACTTAACCCCAAGAGGCCCCAAGACGTCCCAGGAAGGAACCCGAGAGCGCTCCGAAGAGACCCGAAGCAGCACCCCCGAGAACTCAAACCCGCACGCCTGGCAACGGTGGCGGGGTGGGCCGAGGGCAACGATAGCCGTACCAAGAGATATGCAGCACCCTGGCGTCGGAGATGGCACGGGCGAAGCTCGAATGGGCCGACGCCTACGAGCGCATGAAAAACGACCCCCGCCCCCCACATGAAAAACTAATTCTACAGTCATGGGACCGCCAAACGACGCGAGACTGGCAAGCGGAAACAGCTCGACGGCTAGCCAACGACAACGCCGCGCAATTCAATATGAACGGCGCGCTGCTGCTATGCTCGTCGGCGTTTGATGAACCTGGCGCTGCCTTTGTGCCGGCGCGCTGTCAATGGCCAGAGTAATTGTGGATGTTCGCGCGCTCGAGCCAGGGCATCAAGCAAGGGGCGCGTCGGCTCTTGGCGGCGCTGGCAAGAGCCCGGGGCGGCGCCCGGGGCCCGCCCCGCACGGGCGCGCATCGGAAAGTCTAGGTCCACCCCCAAAACAAAGTTTAGGCACCAGGCAAACAAAAGTCAACATACGCTCTACATAAGATCGATCTAAACTTCCCCGAAGCGAAAAGTCTCGCGGAAGGGTGTGCCACAAAAAATTCATATAAACAAAAAAGGTGTTTATACAAACGCCCAAAATACTTTATATTGGAACCGATGCCCCAAGAGAAACGCCCCCCATCTAAACTTTTCCGTCGGCGGGTTCCGAAGGGGCGGCGGCGGTGGGGGTGGGGGCCCGCGGCTGGGCCAGCGGCGCTGCCGCGCGAAAGACAACGCCGCCGTCGCCTCAAACTGCACGCCGCGGCCGCGGCATGCGCGGCCCTGGGAGTGCCGGCGCGGGCGCGGCAACGTCGGGCGGGCCCGGCACGTCGCCGCGCGCGCGGCCACCCCTGCGGCAGCTGGTAATGGCCTCGCCGACAGGGAGCCTACACTTACGCACATTCGCCATACATTCAAAACGCTAACATGCAACATCTAGGAATGCAGGGGCGAAGATCGGATCCCAACCGTTCAGCCTAACCGATGAACGCTTCCCCGTGCAGCGCGCCGTCGATCGCCACGGCGTCGTCGCCGTAAGGGTCGTGTAAGACCGGGCCCATCATGGCGCGCATGGCTAAGGCCGTTGGCACCGCCGCAACGGCGTTCCTGCCGCAAGAGCGGCGCGCGCGGCCGCGATAGGCCCGCAGCAACGAGCATGTCGCCACCGTGGCAAGCGTTCGTTGTAGACCCAGCGTGATCATCCCGGCTCCAATTGCCATCGCTGCCAAGCGCGGGGGCGGGGGCCTGCTCCGAGCAGGCGCTCGCTGCAGCGACGCCTCCGCCGCGGCTCCTCCATCGCGAAGTGCAATCGCCGCGCGCAGCGAGCCCGTCGCCCCGAGTCGGTAGTCTGGGAAAACTTCGATCACGGGCGCCGCCCTCCACCTCGCGCAACGCTAACCCCCTTTCCTCGAGAGCGGCCCGCGCGCCCCCGAGACTCCGGCTGGCGCCTGATTCCCCCCCCCCCCCCCCTGCAAGTCGCCCAATTGCCCCCGCGCCCCGCCGCCCTCCTTCCTGACCGCGACAGCGCGTGAGCCGTCCAAAACAACGAGGGAGGTAAGGGTGTTCACGCGGGCGAGAGCATGACGAATGCAATTTGACACTGGAAAGGCGACCGCGACCAACCCGCGGATCGCACCAACCCTCATCGCCCCAATTAGCGCGGGGCGATGAATGCGCCAAGATCGAGTCGGCGCTCGCTCAGCACATCTGAAGCCCGGGCGCCGCGCCGCCGCCTGGTCAACGATGGCACTGACGTCGCCCGACGCGACAGGGACGGGCCCGTCTGTCTCGACCCGGCATAGCGGCGAGGCAGCAGGGAGTCGAGTAGAGGGGGGGTCCTCGCACAAGCAGTTGCAGACCGAGAGCATCGAATGTCGCCCAGGCCCGCCCGCCCTTCCAGGCGACAGAACAAATGCACCGAGCGCTTGGCCCTCGTTCGGGGCCAGGGCGCACTCGAGCGCCTCGCAATCGGAGAAGAAGGCCATGGGGATCGGAGTAGGCAGCAGGGCTGCTTCTTAGGGAAGGGGTCGACGGATGGCCCCCTGACCCAGTTCCTGAATCAGTGATTTCGCCTCGCTGACATCCCTGAGCAAGATTACCTGAAAATCGCACAACCAACCCGAATCCTCCCGGACAGCAAAGTCGCCGCGCGCAGCGTTGACCTGGGCTGGAGGCTTGGGAGCGAGCAAGCTCCGATTGCATGGCCTCCTGTTGGACCCCACCCCGTCATCGCAGTGCAGGAGGCTGTAAAGATCTCGCGTGAAGATCCCAGCACTGGCGCCACCGAAGACGCGGTCGACTGCGTAGATTCTCCAGGCACCTGAGTAAGAATTGAAATCCCATCTGGTGGGATCTCCATTCCCAATCAAAAAAGAAACTCCCTATCCGGATTCGGGAAATGATTCGTTTCCCCCATCCAGATTGTGCTGGGCCCGATGGAACCGCCACATCACACTGCAGCCGGCGGGTGCCTCGCCTCCTCCGGCAGAAAAGGCAGAGGTAAACTATCGCGCTCTCGCCCCGTTGGCTGGGCCGAGTGATTCGCGCGAGTCTAGCCGGGCGGGGGGGGGGCGCGAACGCGATGCCCCCCGCGTTCCGCGCCAGGGGCCCCAGCAAACGGCGTCGAGAAGCCTGGCGGGGGAGACCCTGAGGTCCCCAGGCTGCTGATTTTGCGGCGGACGCTTAGCTGCAATTTGTTGTATGCAAAATGCAGCTGGATTTTGGCTTGATGTTGCAATCTGCTTTCTGGGGCGCCTAGCGGATAGCACAAGGTAGTATCGCACATAGATATCGCAGTACCCAACAGCAGCAATTCACGTTACCGCTGTTTTTCCATACATGGCCTCAGCATTTCTTGGGGCTGCGATCGAACATCGTTGGCTGAGCGTTGTATTTCCTCATTTATTTCTACTCACGATGTGAATCCAATGCTGCCAGCGTTGCACGCTGCATATCACGCGCTACTGCAAGATGCAACAGTTGCGTTTCAACGCCTGTTGGCCGATGACAAACGCGATCGGGAATGTACCCAGATCATCGTAGAATGCTTTATGGCTACGCATCAATAAAGACCGCAAGCCAAAATGGCAACTTCGAGGGCGGGCGCGGGGGAGGGGGCGAGGCAGGGCAAGGCGGGGGGGGAAAGGGGGGAGGAGGAGGAGGAGAAGAGAAGAGAAGCAACAACTCCAGGAACGAATGCGGACGCGGAAAGAGGGGAACGGGACGGCAGGAAAGAGGAAAAGGAGGGGGGGGAAGGAGGGGGGGGAGGAAAAGGAGGAGGAAAGAGGAGGAGAAAGAGGAAGAGGAGGAGTAGGATGAGCATCCATCGGAGGCGCCGGCCTCCTTTCCTCCCGAATCGTTCCGAATCGTGCTCCCGCTGCAGCGTGGGCCTCATTTTCGGATCGGTGTTTGGCCTCAGTCGCTCAGGATGGCGTCCTCGCCCCAGCGCGGGCCTTTTTCTCGCGCGCCCATCCGCCCGCCACCGCCGCGCCGCACCGCC